CGCAATCTTATCAGAATTTATATCACTCACAGTGTATCTGTTTGTCATTGTCATCAAATTAATTCTCGCGATATATTTGTCTTAATATTTTCGTTTCTTAGTTCATGTAATAGGGATTTAAATTTGGTTTCTCGTAATTTTTTCTTTGAGAAATTTTGTAAGAGGCATTTGCCTCCTATTGCCTAATGGTAGCCCTGTATGTATTTCACTACATGCACGTCTATTCACTAATTTGACAATTGCTGTCCTATGTCACTAATATTTCATGTTTTGCATTGCTAACATAATCTCATGCTAAATCATTAAATTCATAACCTTACTCATGATATTACTATTATATTATTATTTATGCTACGTTGCGTTACATCGCGTTGTGTTTCGTATGTATTCCACACATTTACTAACATTGTACAATTGCTGGTTTTACTATACTACTCTTTCTCTCTCTAATGTCATACCAGTTATATTCGCCTATAAAAACTCGTCTACTGTTGTGCCAGTACTGTATGAGGTTTGTGTACTATGTATATGCTGTAAGTGACAACTGCGTGTGCTGTAGGGTATACACCAGCCCCAAAAACCCAATTCTCCACTACTGTATTTATTTACCAAAGTATTTTGTATTTGCGTCCACCCAATACAATTTTCTTCAGGATACGATATTTCCATACTATACTTTCCTTGCGCGACATTATGGTTAAGGTAAGTTATAACGGTATACTAATATTTGTATATTATATATATTATATATTATACTAATATTTATACTACTCTACTCTAATATTTATATATTATCAGGAGTTAATAATGACATTTAACATTAATTTTTAATTTTGTGATTTAAACTCTAATAAACTCTATTAACTCCTGATATTATATATATTATATATTATACTAATATTTATACTACTCTACTTAATATATAACGTTATTAAGTTATAAAGTCCTTACTAAGTAATGACAGCCTCAATTATCTTACATTTCCTTATGCAATATTCACATTTCTCTTTACATTCGTCTTTCGCCTTAAGATAATTATGTTCCCCCAAAATTATTGCGTTGGTTATTGCGTAGCGTTATACAGCTTGGTCGAGGATAGGAGAATATTAAATAAATAGTAGCAACGAAAGGAGAATTACTAGTAGACGACATAGTGACTTGGCAATGTTCATATAATACGTTTAGTTCTTATTTTCGCATTACCCATGCATAAAATGTTCTTCAACGTATGATATTATTCCCATAATATATTCTTTACACACTCTCATGGTTGACGTACGTTAGAATGTCGTGCTAATTCATGATAGCCTCACATGTTACAGTTAGGGCAGGGCCGTATGCTGAGCAAATTTCTAGGGGGTGGGGGGGGCGGCAAAATTTCGTGACTCATGACTCAACGGCGTAATGATGAGCGACGGGTGCAGCTGTTGATCGACGTCCATAGTGTGGTAGGGGGGAGCCACCATCCATCCATCCCATCCCTCCAACCCATCTTCCATCCCATCTACTCGCTTTCAATACACAGCCACCCCCATCATATCCATCCATCCCATCCGCAATATCTATTACTTCATCCAGTATCCATTCCTCGTTCATCCTCCATCGCCCATGCCATTCCACACATCCCATCCATCAGTTCAAATCTAATTACTCATCCATCCATACCATCCATCCACCATCCATCCATCCTATCCATCCACTCCATTCCTTCATCACATCCACATCACTTTCTTCATCATTAGTCATCCATTCATTTCACCATCCATTCTACATTTCCCATCCTTCTATCTAGATGTCGCTCTCTCATCTCGACCACATCGCGCTCTCTTCCTCTCTCCGCTCTCTCGTATCACACACACCACACACAACACGACACCCACACACACACACACACACACCCATCACACACAACACACACACACAACACACACACAACACACAACACACACATCACACACACACACACACACACACACACACAACACACACACACACACACACACACACACCACCACACGCACACACACACAAGACACACACACCACCCACACACACACATCACACACATCACACCACACACATCACACACACCCACCACTACACACACACACACACACAACACACAACACACACACACACACACACACACACACACACACACGCACACACACACACACACACACACACACACACACACACACACACACACACACACACACACACACACACACACCACACACACACACACACACACACACACACAACACACACACAGCACACACAGCACACTCTCTCTGGCTTCTTATAGAGTACGAAATAGAGGTTCTCTAAGGATTCCTCCGGATCGGATTTGGCAAATATGCAAAGGATTCTCTAATAGTAAATTAGATGTTATGCCACTTTCGACGCAGCAGATGAACACGCGTAGCAGAGCTGCAGCAGTAGATGCAGTACTCTGCCATCAGCTCTACAACTAAAAAGATGGGTTAGGTCTATGTGTATGTACAGCATGGTCAGAGTAAGTTGCAGTACTTTGTCCCTCACGATCATACATAACGATAGCACACAGACGCCAGCCACGCAACACGCAGTCGCACGCACGCGAGCACGACACACAGTCACTTACACGCAAAGCCGCACGACACACATACGC